GGGGGGGGGGGGGGGCACGGACACCCGTGAAAACGAACAGAGTCAAGACGAACGTGTTGAGGTCGCCACAAGGAAACGGAGAGAGAATATCGGAGAGCAGACAGACAATCAGAGAGGTGGAGAAGACAAAAGCAAAACAACGGAAACAACGGAAACAACAACAACAACAACGACAACGACAAGACCACCCCGTCGCTTGCCTGTCGAATCTTTCCGGGCCCGCCGTTCTTCGGCATGTCCAGGCAGAACTTGCACTCCCCGCACTCCACAGACTCGCACCCGGCGCACGCACCGCACCTGAAACGCCCACCCCGCAACAACCGCCGCAGCGGCGACGGCAGCGGCAGCAGTAGCGGCAGCGGCAGCAGTAGCGGCAGCGGCAGCAGCGGCAACAGCAACAGCAGCAGCAACAGCAGTGGCGGCGGCGGCGGCGAAGTTATTGTAGTGCTCTCTTTTGGTTGTGGGGTTCACAAGTCACAAGAGCAGCATGCACAGACGATGGGGCTGGGATGGATCTGCTCTTCTTCGTGTTGTTCTCCGGGGGGGGGGGGGGGGGGGGGGGGGAACACCCCCCACCCTTTTTTTTTTTTTTTTGGGAGGGGTTTTTTCTCGTCACCAAGGCCGGGGGGGAACCGGTTATTTCTTTTTTTACCAATATTTTTTTTTTTTTTCCCCCCCACCCCAGCGATTTTCCGCGTTTGGGGTTTCCGCAAACGCCCCCTTTTTTTTACTCCCCATTTTGTGGTTGCGAAACAGTTCCCTTTGGGTGTTTTTCTCCTTTAAAGAAAACACCCTTTTGGGCCCCCGGGGGGCCACTTTTCTGTTTTGGGAGCGCGGTTTTTTTTTTTTTCTTTTGGGGGGGGGGGGGGGGGGGGTACTTAAAGTGGGCAACCCGGTATTTGTTTGCCCATTGCCCTCCCACCCCCAAAAAGCCGGGGGGGAGCCCCCGGGTTTTTCCCGGGACCGGGTTTTCCCCTCCCCAGGGGGGAAGCGCGGGGGGGGGGGGGGGGGGGTTCCGTACGAAGCGCAAAGAAAGTACCAAGTAGCGGGGCAACCAGGCGTAGGAAACGAGTTGCATGATGTTCTTGTGTGAGTGTGTGTGTGTTTTTTTTTCGTCGTGTGTTGCTTATTTTGAGAAAAGGCACTCGCTACTGCTGTGGGCCTCCGCTGCGGATAGAATAGGCCTTGTGAGAATTTTGACAACGAGAGACGGGGTGCATGTTTTTCGGAGGAGCGAAAGGATGGAAAAAACTTGGTATTGCGTCGGTCCCCATTCGACGTCGAACTCACGTAAAAGCCGAGGCGGGACCGGCTGCTCGTGTAATAGTGTGCTCGCCATTGATCCCGACAAAGTAGGAGCCGTGAATGATTTTTGTCAAGCAAGTACGGCAGAGGAGAAGGGCCTCGTCGCGAACCAAGTCAGCATAAGGCTGTTCCGAATGTCATGCTCTTGTGTTCGCTGCGTGTGTACCTGATCTGGAAGCCGCTTCAAGGCACGGCGAGTGTGAAGCACCTGTCCTGTGCTATGTAATTGGCGCAGTAATCGGCGCGGGTTTTGCGGGAAATGAAGGCGGTACGATCTGTTTTTTGCCGATCGTTAGGCCTTGTGGGTGCGGCCAAAACGGGTCTCCGTGAAGTGGTGACGCGAGAGAAATAATCGTGCCGGCACATATTCGCGTGACCTCTTTAGAGAAGTAAGCTCGTTCCGAAAGTAGTTGTTGGAAACTACAGCATGTTGATGCTGTTTTAGGATGCGTTTTGGCTGCATGCATGTGCTCCGTCTCAGGGTGTGGGGGATGATGATGATGCGTTCGTAACATTCGTGCGATTTTTACACTTGGTGTTTTTGTCAAAGAAATCTGCCCTTTATGAGAGTTATTACCAAGCACATATGTGCATGCGCCGATTGTGCGATGAACTCACACTGGAACGCATACACACCGGAGGTGCAATGAGATACAGTGTTTCCTGGGTAGACTAGGGTTGGAATATGAAGGGGTTTGGTTGTTGGTCGTGAAACACGGCTCCCCCCCCCCCC